TAAAGAATTTCTGGAAAGACAAGAACAAGAACAACAAAGGAAGAGAAGCTGTGGAAGGGGAACAATCTGCTCTGATGGAGGAAAGTATGCAGAGATGAGATTCGAGATCCAACTAAGCACTAGTGTTCTTCATTATGTGTCATTAAATTCTGATTCTGGAAACTTATATTACCTAAATTGAAACAGTGAACAATGATTTTCAGACACTGGATGCTTTCCAAAACCATTCTCACCTTTACACTCCTCTCCCCAGAACATTCTCTTGCTTTTTTCTGTGACTGCACTTCATTTATAAATTGGGAAGATGGAAAAATGGATAAATCGAGGAGATGAACTTGAATATATAATTTCAAAAATAAATCTGGTTTAATTTTTGTGGTATAGTTTTAGAGGCACTTACCATTTTAGATCTGAGTAATAATACACTGTCTTACAAAACACTGCTAAACCTACACTTCCATTTATACAATAGATAGTTTGAACTGTTATACAAAAAACTGAAACGTTGTATAACAAAAAACACATAAATCATTACACATACCCATTCATTTCTTACTCCTTCAAAGATACTTTATCTTAGTTTTTGGTTGATTGCCAATTAGCAATGGCCCCTGCCACCATTAAGCTTCTCTGTTTCTAAGCCTACCCCTATCAAGTTAATCTAAAAATAAGCACTTAAATGTACAAGGGGCTCTGATATTTAAAGGAACCATGCAATGATCTTTCTGTAAAGCAGGCAATTCAGACAGTGATCTGAGTTTTCTTAATTGTTATATATCATAGTCAGTTTTAGGATGATGTGGCAACTTTTAAATGCCTGCAAAAGTAGACTCTTTAATTCAAAGATGATAATGGGAGAAGTACTGGAGAATGGGAGACCTAGTAAGAGGGAATTGCAATAATCCAGGTGACAGTGACAAGGGTCTGAATTAGGGTAGTGGCTGTATGAGAGGAGAGAAGGGAGAAGATGAAAGTGGATGAAGGCAGAATTGACAACACTTGGCAAATAACTGAATATGAGGGGTGAGGGAAAATAAAGAGTCAGGGATCAATCAAATACTTAGTAAGTATTATTACTATCAAGTACTTATTAAGTGCTTACTATGTGCTAAACATTGTGCTAAACTTCTGGGGTACAAAAAAAAGCAAAACCAAAATGAATGCTGGGTTACTGGAAGGATTTATCTTTTTATACTTTACAGCAATTTATAGCACTTTCCACATAGCAGACACAATAAATGTGAAGAGGTCGTCCCCATTAGGCATACCCAAAGAGCCTCTCTTTCTTCTATTAGAATGTGAATTCTCTAAGGACAGAGATAAGATCTTTGCCTTTCTTTGTATTCTTAGTGTTCAGCAAAGTGCCTGGCACACATTAAGTCTTTAGTAAATGTTTGCTGACTGAATGACTTATGTATCCTTGACAACTGTGAATTTTAAAGACAAGGTGTAAGCCTTTGTTCTGGTATTCATTCTGGCCAGTTGATACACCTGAGCCTGGCCTTTAAAAGAGAAGGAACATGGCAGAGAGTGAAAGGGCTAATACAGAAACAGATTGAGCATTGGCATTATTTATTATGTGTCATTAAATTCTGATTCTGGAAACTTATATTACCTAAAATTGAGCTGCTCACTAGTCAGCAAATAATGATTTGTAATGGATGCTTCCTAAAACTACCACACTCCCCTTCCTAGAATATACTCTTCCTTTTTCTGTAATTGTGCTTTACTTATAAATTGGGCAGATGCAAAAAAAAAAATGGAGGAGATGGACAGGTAAATATAATTAAAATCAATCTGGCTAAATTATTGTTGCAGTGTTTCAGAGAGCCTAGAGAGAGGCCTGTTCATCCACAGCACTAATTTAGACAAACAGAGGTACCTTAAGGCAAGCAAGTGCACCTAGACATGCCTCCAGTTAGACCACAGATACTCAGGAGGACCTGAAGGAAGGCAAGAACATCACTGCAGTGAAGCAGGAGAAAAGGCACTGTTAGAAGCACAAATAGTTACTGCTTTAGAGTATAATTTGAGGTCTGGAAGAGTTATTCTTCCCTTGATTCATACTTTTTTTTTCATTATTTCCCTTGAGATTCTAAATCTTTTGTTCTTCTAAACGAATATTATTTATTTTGCCTAGCTTTTTGATTGGTATAGCACTAAGTCTATGAATTATTTTACCTATTATTGTCGTTTTTATTATACTGATGCAGCCCAGCCACGAGCACTGACTATCCCTCCAGTTATTTAGGCTGTTCTTTATTTCTTTAAAGAGCAGTTTAAATTTATATATATATATATATATATGTAGTCAGTAAACCAATAAGCATTTATTAAGTGCTTACTATATGCCAGGCACCAGGCTAAGTGGTAAGCATACAAGGAAAGGTAAAAACATTCCCTGACCTCAAGGAGCTCACAATTTAATGGGGGAGACAACATGACAACATCTATGTACAATATCTATCTATCTATCTATCTATCTATCTATCTATCTATCTATCTATCTATCTATCGTATAAATCAAAAGGAAGGCACTTGCAGAAGGTGAGATGTTAGCTAAGACTTGAAGGATGAGGAGGGCATGGAAGGCAGCCAATGAAGAGGCACAGAATTGGGAAATGGAGTAGGTTGGTCAGGAACAAGGAGGCCAATGTCACTGAATTGAAGAATATGTGGAGGGTCATAAAGTATAAGAAGAATGGCAATGTAGAAAGAAGCCAGGTTATGAAGAGCTTTAAAAAAAACCCTAAGAGTATTTTATAATAGATCCTGGAGGTAACAAGGAGCCAGTGGGGTTTCTTGAATATTGTGGTGCTGGATCTGACTTTCACTTTGAGAAGGTCATTTTGAAAACTAAATAGAGCATGTGCTTTGGTAGACTGACTCCCAAGTGTTTTATGCATTTAGTAAAACTCTAAAAGATAATGCTGTTAAAGTGCTGTACTCAATATTCCAGGAAATTTGGGAAATTCAACAGTGACCATTGTATTGCAAAAGATCATTTTATATCCTGATCCTAAAGAAGGGCAATGCCAAGGAATGTTCAAATTACCAAAAAAATTGTGCTCATTTCACATGCCAGTAAGGTTATGTTTAAGATTCTGCATGCTAGGCTTCAGCAATATGTGGATGAATAATTTGCCAGAAGGGCAGCCTGGTTTTCAAAGACGCAAAGGAACTAAAGACCAAATTGCCAACATTTGCTGGATTATGGAGGAAGCAAAGGAATTGCAGAATAACATCGACTTCTGCTTCATTGACTACAGTAAAGCCTTTGACTGTGTAGTTCACAACAAAATGTGAAGAGATGGGAGTACCAGATCATTTTACTTGTCTCCTAAGGAACCTGTATGTGGGTCAAGAAGCAACAGTTAGAATTGAACATGGAACAACTGATTGGTTTAAGATTGTGAAAGGAATATGACAAGGCTGTATATTGTCACCTTATTTATTCAACTTATATGCAGAATACATCATGTGAAATGCCAGGCTGGACAAATAAAAAACTGGAATTAAGGAATGGGAGAAATAGCCACAATCTCAGATATGCAGATGATGCCACTTTGATAGCAGAAAGTGAAGAGGAATTAAGAAGCCCCTTGACGAGGGTGAAAGAGAAGAGTGTAAAAACTAGCTTGAAGCTTAACATTAAAAAAAGATTATGGCAACTGGTCCCATCACCTCTTAGAAGGAGAAGAAAGGGAAGCAGTATCAGATTTTATGTTCTTAGACTCAAAGATCATTGCAGTTGATGACTGCAGCCATAAATTAAAAGATGCTTGCTCCTTGGAAGGAAAGCTATGGCAACTCTGGACAGCATACTAAAAAGCAGAGACATTATCTTGCAGACAAAGGTTCACACAGTCAAAGCTATGGTTTTTCCATCAGCAATGTATGTCTGGCTATGAGAGTTGGACTGTAAGAAAAGCTGAGTACTACAGAATCAAAGCTTTTGAATTGTGATGCTAGAGAAGAAGTTTAAGAGTCCCTTGGATAGCAAAGAGATCAAATCAGTCAATACTTAATTAAATTAAATCAGACTATTCATTGGAAGGACAAATACTGAAGCTGCAGCTTAAATACTTTGGCCACAAAATAAGAGGACAGGACTCACTGGAAAAGATCCTGGTATCGAGAAAGATTGAAGGCAAAAGAAAAAGGGGACAGCAGAGGATGAAGATGAGACTGATAGATAATGTCATGGAAACAATGAACATGACCTTGAACAGACTGTAGGAGACAGTGGAGGATAGAAAGACCTCATGTCCATGAGGTCACGAAGAGTCAGACACGACTGAACAATTGAACAACAATAAGTTGTGAATGGGACTTCCTTTTCTATTTTTAATCCCTAGACTTTTCTATTGTTAAACAGAAATGCTATTGGGTTTTGTAGGTTTATTTTATATACTGCTACTTTGCTAAAGTTATTAATTGTCTCAGTTTTTTGCTGATTCTTAAAGACTTTCATCATGCCATAAATGAATAAGGATAGTTTTGTTCTTTCTTTGGCACATTATTTATGCATTTAATTTTGCTACTGTCTTATTGTCATTGGTAGCATTCATTTGCATTCTATTTTTATACTGAATTCCAAAAAGGAAAGCTAACTCATACTGACTAATGCCATCCATAAGCCTATGTATAATTTTTTTTAAAAAATAGAATTAAATTAGGAGAATTGATAGAAGAAAAGAAAGTTGGAGGTGAGAAGAGAAGAGGTAGAAAGAGAGAAGAAAAGATAAATATGAATGAAAAAAAGTGCAAATGTGAGAGAATGGTGGAGTAACACTGACTTGAGGTGTTACCACTAGCCTAAATGGAATCTTTCCTCCAACAAAGAGAAAATTTTAAAAAGAGATGCGACTTATTTGCCCTTGGTAGTTTCATTTATAATGACTACCTCTCATCAAGGGTTTATTGAAATAATAGAGATTTTCAAGAATTTAATGGAAGTGAGAATATAAAACATAAAATGAAATAATCTTTAATAGTACCTTGCAGTATTTCAAACTTTCAGGTTATTTCTGGAAACAGGATACAACTTAAGAGATCTTCTTATCTGAAACAAATGGCAAATAAAATTCATTTAAGCATGCAAAAATATTCAAGCATGCAAATATGCTCAGTACTACTTGTAAAACAGTAGTTAGGGAAAAATTCTCTCTTGTAATAAAACAATTCCAGAATCCTGAGCAAAATATTATTTTTAATATAAGATCAGATTTTATGTATATTACTTAGGTGTATGTATAAGATGGGTGGCCTGAGATAAGCTGTGTTTAGTTTTTTAAAAATAAAAATACACATAATTATAGAATTAGGACCTCAGATATTAGTTAATTTAACTTGTACATGACACATGATCATAGAGTTTCCCTTTGAAGACTTCAAACTATGTATTACCTCCCAAGGCAGTGTATTCCATTTTTGATTAGCTCTCTAATTCTTAGAAAGCTTTACTACCTGTGTGACTTTGGGCAAGTCATTTAACCTGAAGCCTCAGGTTCCTCATATGTAAAATGAAGGGAGTAGATGATATCTAAAAACCCATCTATATTTTATGAACCTTTATATTCAAAAGAAATCAACCTCCCTACAATTTCTACTCACTGCTTCCAGTTGTCTCCTCTGAAGCCAAGAAGAATCAGTCTAATTATTGCAACAGTGATGGGGAGTAGATGTTTGGTTGAGGAGGAGACAGCTTCTACCTCTTTCCTGGTCCTCACCCTCAGGTGGGCAGAGCCATTCCTTCACATCTCTTCTCTTTAGGCACCTCTAGTCACCACCCTAAATGGCCCCAAAGGGTTGGCTGGGGAGGTGGTGCAGGAGGGGGGGGTTGAATGGGAAAGATATGAAGACAATAGAGGGAAACTTGCTTGAGGCTGCTCTAACCAAATGAGGAATGGAGGGAAATAATGAGAAAAGAAATGAGATTTATGGAAAAAAGATATGAAACAAGAATTGTAAGCTTGGGAAAAGAGAAATAAAAACTTATTGAAGAAAATAACTCTTTAAAAATTTAAATTGGCCAAATGGAAGACAATAACTTCAGGAGAGATCAAGAAATTTAAAAAAAAAGTCAAAAGACTGAAAAAATAGAAGAAAATGTGAAATATCTCATGGGAAAAATAACTGACCTGGAAGACAGAATAGAGATTATTTAAGAATCACTGAACTACTTGAAACTCATAAACAAAAAGAGTCTAGATATCATGTTTTAGGAAATCATAAAAGAAAACTTCTTGGTCATCTTAGAACCAGAGTTGAAAGAATCCACTGATCATTTCCTGAAAGAATCTTCAAGATGAAAACTCCCAGGAATATTATAGTCAAAATACAGTCAAGGAAACAATTTTGCATGCATCCAGAAAGAAATTTAAGTAGAGAGGAGCCACAGTTAGGATCACACAACACATAAAGGCCATAATTATAAAGGAGAGGAGAATTTGAAATAAGATATTCCTGAAAGCAAATGACGTAAGTTTATATCCAAGAATAACTTACTCAGTAAAACTGTGCATAATCCTACAGGAGAAAAATGGATGTTTAACAAAATAGAGGATTTCCAAGAATTCCTGATGAAAAGACCACAGGCGAATACAAAGCATGACATATAAAAACAAGAATCAAAAGGAAATGTAAACATGAGTGGGCAATCATAAGGGATTAAAAAAGGTCAAACTATTTATATTCTTATGTGGGGAGATGAAACATGCAGCCCCTCAGAACTCTACCATCATGAGAGGTCACAGAAAAAGTGAAAAATTAGACAGAAAGCCTGGGATATCTCTGTATGTTTGAAGAATCTCAAAAGAAGAATGGCAAAGGTGGAGAAGAGGAACATACAGGAAGAGGGAAGAAGGTAAAGGGAAAATGGAGGAAAATATCTCACATAAATAGTATATGCAAAAAAGAGTTTCTACAAGTAGTGGACAGTGGGGGAGCAGGTAACAACTGAACCTCGCTCTTACCTAAACTAGTTAAAGGAGGGAAGAATACTCTCACACACAAAGAGTTGAGTACAGAAATACATCTTATGTAATTTTCAGATGAAGAAATTAAAGCTATCTATAGTCATATGAAAAAATGTTCTAAATCACTATTGATTAGAGAAATGCAAATCAAAACAACTCTGAGTTACTACCTCACACCTATGAGATTGGTTAACATGACAAATAGGAAAATGATAAATGTTAGAGAAGATGTGGGGAAGTTGGAACACTAATGCATTGTTGGTGGAGTTGTGAAGTGATCCAACCACTCTGGAGGGCAGTTTGGAACTATGCCCGAAGGGCTATAAAACTATGCATACCCTTTGACCCAGAAATACCACTACCAGGTTTGTATCCCAAAGAGATCATAAAAATGAGAAAAGGACCCACATGTACAAAAATATTTATAGCAGCTCTTTTTGCGGTAGCCACAAATTGGAAATTGAGGGTATGCCCATCAATTGGGGAATGGCTGAACAAGTTGTGGCATATGAATGCAATGGAATACTGTTGTGCTATAAGAAATGATGAGCAGGTGGACTTCAGAAAAACCTGGAAAGACCTGTGTTGACTGATGCTGAGTAAAATGAGCAGAACCAGGAGAATATTGTACATAGTAACAGCCACATTGTGCAATGACTGATTTTGATAGACTTGACTCTTCTCAGCAATGCAAGGATCTAAGACAACTCCAAAAGACTTATGATGGAAAAAGCTATCCATATCCAGAGAAAGAACTATGGAATCTGAATGCAGATGGAAGCACACTATTTGCTCTCCATTTCTTTTGTTGCTTTGTTTTAATTCTTCTTTCTCGTGGTTCCTCCCATTGGTTCTAATTCTTCTTTAGATCAGGACTAATGTGAAAATATGCTTAATGTGAATGTATAAGTAGAGCCTATATCAGATTGCACGCTGTCTTGGAGAGGTGGGAGGAGAGGGAGGGGGAGAAAATTTAACTCAAAATTTTATGGAATACTGAAAACTAAAAATTAATAAATCATTTTTTAAAAGAATAGCAAAGGAATTAATGAAAAAAATGGGAAGGGAAGCTAGCAGTACCACATCTCAAACTGTACTACAAAGCTTTAATCATCAAAACAATTTGGTACTGGATAATAAACAGAGAGATTCATCAGTAGAAGAGATTAGGTACACGATACACTGTGGGAAATGATTACAGTAATAACATTGTTTGATGAATCCAAAGATCCATACTGTTGAGGTAAGAACTTACATAAACTGATGCTGAGTGAAGTGAGCAGAACCAAGAGAATACTGTACACAATAAAGCAACATTGTTCAAGGACCAAGTTTGACAGACTTAGGTCTTCTCAGCAATACAAAGATCTAAGACAATTCCAAAAGACTCATGATGGAAAATGCTATCCATATCCAGAAAAAGAACTATGGAGTCTGAATTCAATTGAAGCATACTATTTTCTCTCTCTCTCTCTTTTTTACTTCTCATGGTTTTTCCCTTCGGTTCTGATTCTTCTTTCACAACATGACTAATTTGGAAATATGTTTAATATGATTGTACATGTATAACCTATATCAGATTGCTTGCCATCTTGGGAAAGGGTGAGGAGAGGGAGGAAAGGAGAAAAAAATTGGAACTCAAAATCAAGTGAATCCTGAAAACCAAAAAATTAAATTAAATTTTAAAAAGTGAATTGTTAACTTTGGAAAAAACAGTTTGGATTGAAGGATGAGGTCAGAACCTAGACTGCAAAGAACGGAGATAAGTGAGAGAAGAAAAAAATAGAAATGACTGAAGGCAGCCCTTTTTATGACTGGCTGATAATGTTTTTGTCTTACATATACTGGATAGGATTGTTTGTTTTATAGGTGTCATTAGAAAATGAGATTGGCAAACTAAACAGCCATAATCAAATATTACATATAAGTAAAACTGTATCAGTTCTTTCCCTCCATGCTTTTACCAGGCCCCTGATATTCAACAGTAATGACAGAATCAATCAGTTTATTTATTAAGCACCTACTACACAGCAGGCACTATTCTAGGCATTACAAAGACAAAAACTAAACAGTCTATTGCCTGAAGGAATTTACATTTATATTCTGGAAAATCCATTCCTTGCTGTAAATACATAACTCCCCTAACATAAAAAACTGGCAAATATAATTAATCTTTGTCCTGCTGTTGGGAATAGCTTAATTTCTCACATCCTCCCCAGTCTCTTTTGGTAGAACATTTATCTTTCTCTAGAAAACAAAGACCTGCCAAATTACAGATTTCCCTTTTTTCTAGACTTTGTTGCTAAGAAACTTTTCATCCTCTAGGCTCCGATATATTTATCACTTGTACAATGTGAACATTGCAATCATTTTATATCAACTTCCTTTATATTGCAATGGCCCTGTAAGAACACAAATACTTCAAAACCAATAGGGTTACTCTTTTAAATTTACCTCTGAGTTAGAAATAAAGCCTAAAAGACAAAAAGTTTACTGTGCTGGAAACTGAAAATCTGGTATGGCCTAGGTATTTTATTAACCATAAAGAGGGGCTTAAATAAAGTAATTTAAATCCATCTTCAGCAGAAATTTGCTTTAGGTAAGAATAGAGCCATATTTTGAGTCAGATTCCATTGCCAACCCTCCCCCCACACCAAAGAGATTAGATCACACAAACTGCAACACAAACAGAAGCTTGCTAATTGCTAAAAGTAGTAGGTAACTGCATTCAGAACAATGTTTCTTAATATTTTCAGCAGAACCCAAGGTTCAACTAAGTTTCCATAAAGATTTTTTCTCCATAAAGATTACTAAGTTCCTAATGTTAAATTGCATGAAGTAGGGGATAAACAAAGAATTTTTACTAGAACTGAATAATTTAGATTCACAAGGGCATGCAATTGTGGCTTTAAAATCTTAAGTTGGGAAAAAACCAAAACAGTATGTGGTGAGTCAGAAGCCTTGATAATAAGAGTGATTTATTATTAGAAGCAGCCTAATTACTAAGCTCTCTGGAAGACAACACCTAAGGTTTGGGGTGGATACACTGTGCACTCTATTTGCTGAAGCAACAGTACATTCAATA